GGATACACCGTTGGACTATAACCTAGCTATTGACTAAGATGTTCAAATGCACTAAGATTCTCAAGTATTAGTTTGTAGGGATTTCACTGATTGGTTACAGGATTTCATCATGAGCTGACATCAGTTAGAGAACCATTGAAAAACCTTGAGAGTAATAGACAGCCGTTTCGCCAGCCTATTTCAGGACTCTTCTCAGTACACACCCACTACCACGGATCAAACCCCGAACCTTCTGGTTAGACGGCGAGCTAGCTTGTAGAACATTAACCCAGTGGGACTTGATTCAATGGCCAGTCCATGAATTCCAACTTCTGTCAATTCACGATATAGAGTGACTGCTAATTATAATTCAGCTTAGATTTTAAATACTTGAATATTTAAGCAATGCTTATTAGATATTGTCGGTTCAGTCAAGGAAGGAATCAAAATGCAGACTAGAAAAAGTGTCATATAAAAACACCATTAAAAATAAGTTCGTTCTAAGCTATTTTCTTCCTTCACTTTCCCAGTGGAACATAGGACTGAAGCTAGTGGCTTGAAGTTTCTGTAGCAGTGTTTATTTTTACAGGATGAGGTTCCTAGCCTCATGCCCAACCTTTCCTCTTTACCAGCATTATTTCTGGTTTAGCGAGGTAAAGGAGTGCGTCGGCCGGGGGTCGAACCGCGGACCATGTGCATGGCCGGCGAGCGTCCTAACCGCTGTGCCACCGACGCAAAGATTTCAGGCAAATAAAGAAAATCAGGCAAATCCACGATTTCAGTGTTTATAATTGCATTTCTTTTTTAAGTCATTGGAACCTAGATGAAATACCTGACGAGTAATTAAGTGCAGCTCAGGTCGCTAAACTGTAATTTAGTAGTATATTTAGAACCTTTTAAAATGCAGTTGACGATTCAATCAGTAAATATATTTACTTTCTTTTATCGTGATGGCATATATGCTTGCCTTAATAACCTTATGGGTACAGCTTTAGCTTTTAAAACAATAGGTGCTAGGCTTGGGTCGTCATGAGAGCACCACTACTGACTATCTGATTCGTATGCATCTAGCTGATGAATATCAAATAGGATGAAGAGCCCATCCTGATAACCACTATTAACTAAATACTTATAAGCTTCTAGTATCTTATCATGTTTAAGTCTTCTGTCGTGAATAGAGGAGGACATCAAAGCTTTTTCTACATATACCAACGTTTCTTAGATAGTCAATGCTTACATCATATTAGTGTCACACTTATAAAGAGAATGAAATTTACAAACAATAAGGTATGATTACATTACAAGTTGAACATCCACCTGACTATGTGTATCATTCAGTAGGCTAGCAGTGCTATCTTTATACACCTAAGTGAAATTCATTCTAGTAGTTGTGCTTTATATCGTAATTTAGTTGATGTTTGGAATCATAGATCAGGCATTGGATTTTATCCCAGTGAATGATTGGTCAATAACCTAACCTTGTAACCTGAAGAATTTGATTTTGATTCCTAGTAAGGTAATGGGCAAATACCGCTGAAGAGACCGAAAGCCAGGCCGAAACAGCTGTCCAGTACTCCTAATTCTGTTTTTTTTTTAAATTAATTCTCTAACTGATCTTATTTTATGATCACTAAAGAATCTGTTGTTTTGAAAACTCTACTAAATACTTTTTGTTTAACAAGCAGAAGTTTAAACAGTTGATAAGCAGTAGTATTAGGTATTACCCTGGATTGAACTAATTGCTTATTGCATAATCTGCTTTTACAATATATTTGTGTTGCAAATATTTCATTATAGCAACAGCTAATATACTAAAGTATACTAAAAATTCCTTCAATACAATATTTCAGTGTAAAATATTCTGTTGTGGTTGTGCAAACGACAACACATAAAACACAAAACTGTAGGCTTAAATCAATAATATCAAATTCCAGATTAGGGTGTATTTTTGTTGAACAATCTGTTGTGTGTGTGTTATTCCACGTACAGATCTTGTCGTCAGTAAGTCTGTCATATGATGATCTCTTACGATTTATCGTGCTTTCATTCTGCCTGCATACCAAGAGCATTAATAAAAGATCATAAGTTTGTGAAGAAGGAACAAGAAGAGAGACAGACATAGATTTTGGTTTACACTAATCAAAACTGTAGATGAATAGAGGTGTTGCTGGATTGTGAAGAATCAGATGTAATCGTTATACTAGATAGATTAGGCTTTCAGCAAAAATTATTGATTGGTGATGATAACAATCCTTCTATTTAAGTAGTGAATGCGATCAGTTATAACTGTAACAAGGCTACATGGAGTTAACATAAAAGTATTGTGCTATATCCTATTTACTGACTCATAATAGTAGTTTGACACCACTTTCACATTAATTATTAGTGCTTACTGGACTGATTGAAGTGATCTATACACCGGGCAGCGCTTAGCTCATTTGCGGCTGAGGTCATCATCGGTGTACACAGGACTACTTGACCGAATCAAATCAAATTACTCAGATTCTGGCTAACTACTGACTCCACTGATTGATGAGAATGGTATCCGAGTACTTATTTTAACCAGCTAGTAGTCTCTACCATCATACATTTATGTTAGCTTAATTGATTGTCATTTATTTTTATCAAGCAAACCACATGTACTTCGTGATATGAATAATTTTGGTTTCCACAAGGAAGTTGGTAGTGAAATTCCACCTCGATCTGTGTAAATTACATCTCACAAATGAATATGCAAATTGTAGAATAAGCCTTTCCACTTACCTTTTCCATACAGCAGAAAAGAGTTAACTGTCAGTAAACTAGTGGGGTAGTTACAGTATATGCAGGATTAGATATATTCTTTTTTTAATTATTTTAGTTGGTCTAAATGAATTCCTTTTATGAAATATCTAAGATTATGATAGGATGGGGAATATTTATAGCTTAGGTTTTCGAAGTCATGCTTTTTCTTACATAGAAGAGTTTTCAACGTCAATCTACGCATCATGCGTCGCTGAGCGTTCCTAAAAATCTATTCTTGGTGTCTATAAGTGCTCTTTAACTTTTGATCACTTTATTCAACCTAAGAGTAAATTCACGTGCTTGTCTGTAAACAGTCTCTGGCTGACTCTAAAGTGTTTTAAACACGGGATAAGCTCATGAGCTTTCAGGTACTTCAGAAATTTTAATGTTTTGATGAAGTGCTTCATCAGAACACTCTGTGTTTGTATATTTTCTTTTCTTTTCTTCATTATTTTGTGTTTTAGTGGTGTTCCATTTGATTTAACAATGTTTTGTATAGGTTCTTTGTGGTTCTTGTGAATCATTTGGTTCGTATTGGTTTTCTGCCACTAAAAATTATGTTTTTATCCTTTCCAATACTATTCCATCGATAAATATGACAAAAGATAACCCAAAGTTATCCGACGTATCGTTTCAGATGCCTTCGTCGAACCCATCAGGAGTGAATGAAAGTCACCATCTCTCCAGTCAACGAATTAGTCATAATAAATAAAAGAAACTGAGGCATAAAATAAACAACGAAGGATAACAGGCATACACAGAATTGTGTCAAACTCTCATTACATCAAGAATTGTTTATCTGAAAGAAGGAGACAATACCCCATTCGGTAAACCAAATAGGAAACTGAAGAACTCTCCTTGCAATTTTAAGGTCGTAGGTCATAGGTCATAAGTATGTACTTCTGAAGATACCTAGATTAGAGCAAAATAACTGTCCAATAGTCCAGTGCTTATTTTCGATGTTTCTTCAAGTGAAGTCAATTCGTTATCAAAAACTTGAATACGTAATAAATTAACTGCAAATTTTAAGAAAATGCCTAATTAGGAAAATCCACTTCGGTAGATAAAAAACCTGATCTTAGTTGGAACAGAAGTTCTAAGATCATTCTCAATAAATCACTACTGAGATCAGAAATCAATAAATCGAAGAACATATCATGTATCATTTCGGAAAATGTGAAACTAAGGTTTTGATAGTAAAAGAATTTGAATCAAACATACTTTCGTGTATGAAGTCCAAGGTTTGCCTTGTCAATAGCAAGATCTCTTGTTATATATCAAGGAATTAGATGAAATCTCTCTAAGCCACTCCTTTTCATTGCATATATCACAACTGAGGAGATATCTACTTACCCTGTATGACAGTGATAAAATTTGGCTGTAAGATCAGACGGCATTTCTCCTATATTATAGATAATTTAGATTAGAACCAGATCCAACTTAGAAGTTATTCACCTTTGATTATTATCCAATATATTAACCTATAGAACATAGAGGAGATCGTTTGAGGAGAAGATGAAAGCTTGTAGACAGTCATGAAGTATGCTAAAAAAACTGCCCTACGTTCCATTCAGAACCAAAGAGAATAATAATTTTACAGCATGGATTATATTTCCAACAGGTTTCAAACCTTTATCAGCAACTGTCTTCGCTCTATACTGAAGATCAGATGGCCGGGCCGGAAACAGTCACTAACGAGAAACTATGGAAACAAACAAACAAAACAAGAACCAATCGCCAACCAACTAACATGCAGGAGAAAGTGGAGATGGACTGGACACTCGCTCGCTGAGGAGGCCGCTGAGTGACATCGCGCGCGTGTCAGGCCATTTCTCGAGTGGAACCTGAAAGGGAAGCGGCGAGTGGGACGTCAGTGCAAGGGTGACATGGAGTAGATTGTGTGAAGAGAGAGGAGTTGAAAGAGTATGGACTAACATGGATGCAGGTGAAAAGTACAGCAGAGGACAGAAGCAAGTGGAGGCGTGCAGTTGAAGCCCTATGTTCCACTAGGAACCCAAGGGAACAATAATAATAATAATGGATAAGTTATAGATATAACCGGAAACCTTTAAAATCAACCTTTATAAAATTCGCTTCTTTTGACTTCGGATCTGCATGATGATGGGATATAATGTCAAACACTATCATAAGGGGGTCTACACTAACTGAATGAAAATTTACCAGTTCATACTGTTTTAACAATAAGGTTTAATTTTTTATTTTTATTGAAATTTTAGCCTTATTTTTGATCGTATCCGGTCTGCCAGCTGTTTATATTTGGCAAGGATGGTGGCCTGTATCTGGAATGACAAAATCTCGATTTATGTCACAAAAATTACTTAGATCATCATCAACGTATAGTAGATCTTCATCAACAACTGGAGAATATAAAGATGATTGTTTGTGGAGTACATCTTTTGATGATTATTATGATTATAATTCATCAGTGTCAGTAGATGGTTCAATCGATCTAGATGATAATAAACCGCCTGCAACAACAGGAACAGGTCGTGCACGTTTTTTTGCTGTACGTAAAGCTGCAATGCATACGGCTAAAGCGTTGGCAGATAAACGTAAGTCAAATAGTTTATATATTTGTACTTTGTTTTTCTATGGTTTAATTGATTTCTGTTTGGCCATTGGATCGGGTCCCAGTGGCTTAATGGTCTACGAGTTAGCTCGCCTTGTAACTAGAAGGTCCTGGGTTCGAACACCAGTTAGTAGGTGCGTACTTCCGAAGAGTCCCAAACTAGATCTAAACAGCTGTCCAGTAGAAATCGATGCAGCAAGTTAAATCATAGATTTATATCAGTTGCAAAACCACCTAAAAACACTTGAGTACTGAACAGCTGTTTCGTCCTACTCTGGGACTCTTCATCAGTATGTACGCGCCGGAGTTCGATCCCAGAGCTTTCCCCTCACTAGGCAACGTATTATACCACTCAGCCATTGGCAGCGGCGATCCAATTGCTCATGATTTTTTACTCTTACCAATTTGTGACCACCAGTTAATATCATCTACGAGTATTTGTCGTCACGTCCGACCTGATGGAGCCTATTGGTCATCACGACTTCTCCCTAGAACTTCAGGCATTTTCGTCCCATAGCCAGTCACTAGCAAGTATTAGAATTTTTTCTAAGATTTACTTTATAGGGATTAAACTTGAAACACATCATATCCCTCATAAGTAACCCTTTGAAAATAAATTCATGCAATTAAGTATTGTAATCTGTGATATTCATCAATAAAGGATATTAGTATTACGGTATGAATTGGTATAAATATGCACAGAACTATACATTGATGATATTACAGTGAGAGATTGTTTTGAGTAGACGGCGTTATCGAACATAGAATCAGTTTAAAAATAAAGAATAATAACTCTACATAAAATAAGATTAGTTTGCTGAACAAACAATTATGAATATCAATGATTATAAAGCAAACCATTAACTTATAAACATTTACAAGTATTTGTGACACACTAGTTGTGTGTACAGGTGCTTTGAAAAATGAAAGTTAATCAAGGAAGAAACGTGAAAAAAAAATATTCTAAGATGACGAGAAATATTTTATAAACGTTTAAAGTTAGATCCCGAAGTGAATTCAGTTAGAGAACCAAGGATGGGTAGACTTTAATCTTCTTTTCAAGATGCTGTCATGTGACCGCGTATTCACCGCCCTACTAGGTAAGTCCTATCCACTGTATTTACGTAGCGGATGTGTTTCTCACAAATGTGAATGCAAACATCTGGCGCATACAGCTGCATTGATGAACACTCAGGTCCAACTAGGACACCTAGAGAAACCCGATTCCAAACCTATTTTATACATGCCCCCAGAATCCGAAAGGAACGAATGATGAATAGGCCTGAAATTATGTACTACTGACTGAACAAGATGAGTGGTTTTATACCACTTTTATCAACCAATAGTGATCGACAGTCAGATCAAAATATTCTTTGATTATAGCTTGATTCCACACCGTATTTTAAGTACAAGTATGGAATTTTCAGTACGTGATACCATCAGTCCAAATCTTGACGGCCGGCAAGGAATCGAACCCCGGCCCATGTGGATGGTCGGCAAAAGTCCTAACCGCTGTGCCACCGACGCACATAATCTAATCGCCGGATAGTCGTTTTGCTCTTTTGCGGCTGATCTTATCCGTGTTGGTGTACTTGGTTTGACTTAGATCACAGGAATGACTGAATTCAGACCACTCGCCCAGTATTCAGATAACTGTGATTTAGCTATCAAACATTACTCATCTCAGTCAGTCAGTCAGTTACACACAGCTTTATGAAAATTTGCTTTCTTTCATGATTGCCCATTTTTCTTATCGCGAAGATCACAAATTGTGGTCTGAATAATTTCATTTTCAAAATGTAGTGAAATTTCACCCCTCAAATCTTTTTTGGATACTGATAACCGTAGGAATGCAGCTCTTGACACTGTGTTGCTCTGCCTTGTGAACAAGACAACAAGTCGAATGCGGAGAGAGTGTGGTTTCTTAAGACACAGAAGTTCATAAGTCCATTCAACTCGTTGTCTCTTTAGAGGATTTACTTCAAAGTATTGTGCATCATTCATTAGCGAAAACTGCCTAATAGATATTCTATTCATCAACTAGATCAACAATATTATAAGAGTATAAAATGGGGACATAAACTTATTTTCTTTTAGAAAACACCAATTCTTTGAATGTTATAATACTGACTATTTTATTTATTTGTTATATTTTAGTGAATACAAAAGCCTATTTAATTTATGCTGGATTAGAACCTCCAGAGTTTTTGGCATTATTCCCACCGTATGATCGAGCTACTGATTCAGTAGCTTATCATCAATGTGAGGTAAGCATAACCTGATATAAATGTATCCCTATTATTCTCTGAATAATTCCTACTTTATTCATTATGTTCCTTCACTAGTTAATAATGACATGAGATATTTAGATTATGGGTGGCTTTCTGTAGGGATTTGAGTCCATTTCACCGTTGAATTAGTTACGAACAAACTTCAGTTAGTGAATCTTTGAAGAACGGAGAGTACTATACAGTTGCACGGTTTCTGCTTGGGATTGTTCTGCAGTGCCAACCCATGATCCCAAGGGAGATCGAACTTGGAATCTATAGGTTTTTTGAGGCCAAGATGTAGCTAAACAGTACCTTTGATGATCATCCACTTCACCTTAACATATCGGACCCTACTAGCCCAGAATTTCTCATTACAACCTCAGAACATCCATACGGTAGCTATCAATTAACTGTGCAGCGCTCCCAGGTTTTTATTGAAATGACTTTAGGGTTTTTCTTAGAATCATTCACTAAAGGCTGACTAATATTCAGTGAAAGTAGATAGTTATTCCTACTCTCTATCCCTTGTTTACACTCCTACCCCCACCCTTAAAGATTTTTATAGTTCTAAATGTAAAAAAATTAGGAAAACATTTTTACTTACACTGATTTTTCTACACTGATTTCCGAGTAATAAATATCCGTCTTGCCTTTCCTATCCTGTCTTCCACATCGTCATATGTCACGTATTTGAAAATATGTTACCTAGATAAGTGATAAGAGTCTTTCATCATGGGTGCTTGCGTTCTATCTTCCGTGTGAATTGGTATACTAGGGTGAGCAGTATTGAGGTTAGGCATCGGTCGAGTGCTAGGTAGAAGGGAGGGGAAATCAATCGACTAGGCTATGAAGTTACATCGACTGAGATGGTTGGGACATGTGTTGCACATGCCTAGTCTAGACATCGCCTTCCTCGACAATGGGCAATGTTAGCTGACATAGGGTCAGGCTGGAAAAGAGCTAGCGGCGGTCAAACTAAAACATGGCTTCATCAGTCAATGAAATCCACAACAGTTAGTTTAAGCCACATAGGAAGGTGTAGACTTGATGACTGGTTGGGGTCCTAGGAACGGTAAAAACCAATGGCTGGAAACAATCGGTGATATGGCCCAAAATCGTTCTCAATGGCTGGCTCAGATGCATCCACTCCTAGTGACTTATGGTTTCCAATGGAACTATACTGTTCTTCGTTATTACTATTCCTTTCGTCTCATATCTCTGTTTACTGTCTCTATTATGCATTTCTTCTACTTTCTTATCTTGCTTTGTAACCCACATGGAGTGTGACGGCTTGAGTGCTGCACATCGGTACAAAGTTCTGTGTTGAAAACAGACAGACAGACAGACAAGTGAAAGAGACAACTTCATTTAGATTTCTCTCGATGATAATGATGGTACTTGTTTTTGGTCGGTTAGTTGGTTGGTTATCTTTATCACCTCTGTCTTGACTATGTTCATTTAAAGTGCTGTTTCGTCTGCTTGTTTCGCAATCCTGTTAGTTTTCACTTATAGGTCCTTGAGTTTGTATGATATACATAAACCATTTATAAATTCCATGCCTTCTAGAGTTTTTCTGTCGGTCTAGCGTATGCCCGGTTTCTCATTCCCCACTATCTGTCACATGAATTGGTTCATCACAGTTAAAATATTATTGATGACAGGAGACAACCTTGTTTTACTCCTTTCTACACTTCAAAGTTCTCACTGAACTTCCTGTTGTAAATCGTGTTTAATCCAGTGATAATTTATCACTGATACTAACATGTTTCGTAATAACAGTCAGTGCTGAATTTAATATTCGAAAAACTTATCATGGATGATTCTTAGCTTATCATTTAAATCGTGAATACTTTACAAATGCACTTTTTCTTGTCTTAGTAAAATCCAGTAAAGATGATGCAGTATATCAACTGTCAGTGTTTGTTTTTTTATTTTCTATTTCATTTATTCACTGACCTTGACCTAGAACTTTTATTTCAGTAATTAAATAAATTCAACAGTTAATGAAAATTTTCTTTTCAATCTGTTTAAAGTAAAACTGTTTTAAGGATAATTGACATGGTGAATATTTTTGAGTGTTGATTTATTAGAAACTAGAAAGCAGGTTTATGAGTCTTTAGCATTAACTATCAAATCCTAGACGTTGACATCACAAATTGAACACACTAACCACATAACCACTAGGTCGGCCCCATAAATTATAACCCTGTCAGATCCCGATGCAGTATCAGTGCCATTGACGAACATCTGTCCTCACACACGAATCGGTGGGCTCCACTGGTCATAACTTGATAGTTAAACTCCATGAGATTCATCCCATCGCAAACACGTTGGTGGTTTGGGTTCGATTCTATGAACAAAGCACTCCTTTACCTCACTTATCCTGTGGTGAACCTGGTAGAGAGAGAAGGTTGAGCGTGAAGCTAGCAACACTATTCTTTAAAAGAGAAACATAGATCTTCAAGACTCAATCCTGAAGACCTTCGTTTCACAAGAAATGAAAAGGAATGAAAGAAAATTATTCATCCTATAGTCAACTACTAATAAACAGTGAATTGGTAGAGAAATCGGCCTTTTGAAACAAAAAATTCTATCTTAAAGTTAGTTTTTTTATGATGATTAAAACCCGCTAAAGAAACAATGTAAACCGAAAATCGTTTACCAGGTATCATGTTCTACTTTGGGACTAATAGATAATGCGACCCAAGGATACGGTTGTGAATCGAATCTATTTTGGCCCAGTTGTGAAGCCAATAAGTTGTTACCCAACTAGTCAGTTAGAATCACATGGCCTATGAATTCCAAATCTGACTTCTTCTCGGAGTGAAGGAAGTTATAAAATTAGGCAGGAAAGTATCTAAATCTTTTTTGCTTACAGGAGTTCTCCAGTGGAGTATTGTATTGGACTAAATCCACCTTCAAAGTAAATGTCATTTGGGGAACCTTCTTATAAAGTGAAAACACTATTGGTTGACGTAAGGGGCTTCAAACTATTCATACCAGTCAGTAATACCTCCTGTTATGCTAATTCTCTTGCTTTCTTGGTTATCATTTGTGGTATCAAGTAGATTACTGGGGGTGGGGTGGGGGATTTTCGCCTCAAATTGTGTCACTTATATATCATGAAATCGTTTCTAGCATAATACGCTGCATTTTATTGATTGAATTCAAAGTTATGGTCTAATCTGCATTTGATATTGTACATTAAACTTGCACGAAATTGCATATCATAAGTAGTATTAGATTTATAATGTGTTACTCTAACAAAAGAAAGGTTGGAAAATGTTCACTAGATATACGATACTAGTTTTTTTTAAATACATTTAGACCCTACAAACTACAAATTTCTTTATGTCAATGTTTATTTGTACACTTATACATACACACATGAATCTGTACTGGGGGGTATTTTCGTCTTATCAACATCATCACGAATTTATAAATATTTGTGTATATCACCAAGTCAAAAGTCATTATTTTCACTTGTATTCAATAGTTCAATGTTTAATGTGCTATTTTCAATATGACCTTTAAATATTGTCACTATCCTGATGCCTGCCTTCTGCATTGGTGGCTATTTCTGTCAAGATTTTTGTTGTCACTTTTATTGTTGGGTGTCTTAGTACACATCTTTCGACATTAATTGAGTGTGACATTTCATCTATAAGTCAGTGAGATGCTCACAAAAAGATGGAAAACGCTCATTAAAATTTTTCAGAGGAATGATTACTAAACAAAGAATATTCTTTTCGATAACCTGCTCCTCATCAGGTTGTACAGTTATGTATACATAATCATGAATAAACTAGTGTTATTAACAACGTTAATGTTTAAATAACATCGAATCAATAATAATAATACCAACGGATTACAATTCAATAACACCAACAAAACAATACACTGAATATCAGAAAAATTAGTAAAGATAGCAATGCAAATTCATGAATTTATAGTCTCCACTGAAGGTCGGCCTGGGCAGTAGCAGTGGCTGGACTTGTTTCTTCTGCACTCAAAGCACTGGATGTTTCACGTGAATCACGATAGCCTTTGTTGCTTGGAGTATGCAGTAGCTCGATGTTTTTCAGCAGTTTATTTGGTACCCCATAGATGATGGAGAAGGACTCTTCAACATTATCTTTGTGGCCAGTTCGGACCAGGTGTTCTAATATCAAGCTGTTGATGCTTCTCACTACACCTTATTTAACCACACTGGTAGATGTTTCCGAGCATGAAAAATCAAATTCTTAGAGCAACAGCTAATATATAACTCTCTCCACTACAAGCGTAGTTGAACTGTTAGATACAATCAGAAGCAGCTAGTCCGTGTACCACATACTCCAAACAATAGAGGCTACCGCGATTCATATTGAACAGCTGTTGCTCTGTGTGCAAAACAAACAAGTCCAGCCATTGCTACTGCCCAGGCCGACCTTCAGTGGAGACTATAAATTCATGAATTTGTATTGCTATGTTTACTAATTTTTCTGATATTCAGTGTATTGTTATGTTGGTGTTATTGAATTGTAATCCGTTTGTATTATTATTATTATTGATTCGATGTTATTTAAACATTAATGTTGTTAATAACACTAATTCATTCACTAGTTTGTATATATAACTTTAGAAGCTGATGATGAAGTTATCAAGAGGAATTTTTGTTCAGCAACCAATCTTTTGGAAAATGACAAACCTTTTGTCAGTTTGGGTTTCATCACAAAACAAAATTAGGCAGAGAATCATTCAAAAACCAGGGAGCATTGAACACTGTGTCATCCTAGTTTGGTAGTCTGTCAGTTGTCTATGTCCACAAATCCATTACGAATCAATCTAAGGTTCTTTAGGTTACAACGTCAAGTTCTCTAACCATTTAGCTACTTGGGCTGACTACAACAAAAAGGCAATTCCTGTTTTTGTCACAAATGAAGTGAATAGATGTTTTATCAAGGGTTTCCACTAAGTCATAAATAACTGTGTGTAGTCATTATATGAAATAATGA